GCAGTTTGCTCCTAATTAATGACAAGCCACATCCAGATACAGCTAAGGACTGTCTTTGGTATGAGCATTTGCAATTGGAATACACTTAAGGCAAGTCCCAGCTCAAGTGAGTCAAACAAATTACATTCATTTTATGCAGTTCTTCCTAAGGCGCTGGCAAGGCAGCAAAGTATCAAAAAGAGGGGAAAAAAAAACAGTAGCAAAAATTCTATTATCACAGCACACAAAGTCCACTAGTGTGGATGCTGTTGATTAACACAGTACAAAGCACTAGTGTCAAATATCACAGGGAAAACAAATCCAAGCTCCTTCTAGAGACAGAGTGATTCCGGTTCTTTATTTTAAATCACTTTTTTTCTTTTTAACCGTAAGATTAGTAATCTGTATTTTGGTCATAATTCATATCTCCGAGTTAATCACTGCAGGGTACTCTGAAGTCCTGGAAAGTTTCAGAGTAACAACTCTAAAACAGAAATAACAGGTTCTGGGGTGGGAGTAAGTTTCTACTAAAGGCAACATTGAACAACCTTCTTTAAATAAACCCTTTAAAAGCTATGAGGTGACACTTCTTTTTATCCCTGCCAGTGGGGACGTGAAGAATAAAAAGTTAACAGTTCAGCAGCCTATCTCAGCCCTTCAGCAAGCCAAAAATGAGCTTCTCAGCAGGCAGTCAGTAAGGGGAAGCCTTCACAGGTAAAACCTAAACCCACTGGCCCATCTGTCAGACGGTGTCAGTGACAAGCACAAGTCCAGGACAAAGCACCCAGGGCAGTGAGAACCAGCAAAAACCAAAAGTATATCATCAACACTCCTTGAACCCAAGACCTCTAGATTGAGCCTGTTCCAGGGGAGTACTGAAATAACAGCAGGGAATAAATATGCCAGCTGTCTCTACAGATCCCTGCTTAGATACTGGGAAGATGATTGGAGACTCAAGGAATACTTTCAAGCCCATTAGCCTGAGACATGCACAAGCCGAGCTCTCACAGTGCACTTACGGTCCCAACAACCACGAAAAACAAGATTGTCCCATAAACCAGCAATCATCATCACAAAGCAAACTTCCCATTTTTTGCTGGAATTACACACATTTATGAGATTTATGATAGATGTTTTTCTTCCCAGATAATCAACTGACTGCACCAAGAACCACATAGTTTTTAAATGAGTGGACCTATAAAAGTGTGTGTAAATTCAAAGTAGCTAAAAAATTACTGATCAAAATAGTTCTAACACACTGGGGAAAAAAAAAAAAAACCAAAAAAAACCACCCAGACCACTCAAGTTTATTCTTCCTTCCAAAGTCAAATAAATCATGGTTCTGACAGTTTTCTTTAGCTCAGGAACACCAACTCGTGAATACCTAGAAATTAAAAAGAAAACGAACAGACCTTACCAAAGTTTCTTTATGCCCACAATCTCCACAGTAACCCCCATCTTTCTTTGATTTATTAAAAACAGCTTCTCACAACCAGATGCTAAATCAAACTGAAGTCAAAGAACCACATGGAGGGTTTTTAAACCTTAACATTTGATTACAGAAGTAATGGCAAACATAACCCAAATAAAACAGCACCGTGTCCTGGCTTCTGGCACAGCAGGAGGAAGGGGAAGGGAAGAAGACTGCAGCCTCCTCGCTCACAAGTCACAGCTCCAGACACAAGTCCTACTTACACAGCCCTATTTACACATGCCAAAGCAGACACAAGTCCTTCCTTCCAGCCCCCACCATGCCCTGGACAGCAGGTTACATGTCTGCTTTTCACTTTCTACCTAGGTCTTCAGGTATTTTCAGCTCGGTTCTGAACTTAAATCCTGCGTCTTGTCCAGCATTTTTCTTAGAAGTAATAACTGTCCTTAATTTAAAATTTGCAAGCCATTGTCAGCAAAAAAAAAAATCCAACTTAGTAGACCATAATAAAAAATAAACAAGCAAACAAAAAATAAAAACAAACCACGCAGTAGTATCCTTGTCTTAAGAACAAGCAGAACAGATTACATCAGGACAAACCCAAATAACCAAAGGGAAAAATGCCAACTTAATTATATCTCCTGTACAATAGAAAATGTAAAAGGGTTGCAAAGTTGGCTGCTTCCTAGGCAAGATGCTCTGCACATATCAGTCACTACCAATCTTTCCACTGTATTACCTCCCCATGTTCCTTGTAAAAAATCTACTTTTCCTTCTGCTTTCTTGAACCGGACTCCATATCAGCCCCCTCTTGAGTTCTCTCTTCAAACATCACTGCCCTCATTCCCTGCTCCATCCCGTCCACACCTCTCCTCTCCCTGGTCTTTGCCAAAGTGAGTTTCTGCATAAATGGGATATCAGCAGGGGAAAAAAGGTTGTTTTGAAAAACACAAGGTGGACACAATTCCAGTCTGAATACGGAGCTTGGGAATACCTGCCTATGCCACAAAGAAGAAACAGAAAATTATAAATATTATTACAGATTAACACACTCTCAGAATTGATGCTGAATTATGACAGCTCTTCTTTTAAAGTATGTCAACTGGTAGACCCCAAAGAGGTAATTATTAATCTTGCACGTCAAGAAAGTTCCAAAAGAATTAACTACAAAGAGCAGCTGTGCTCCAGCCACAGATGATGCAAAAATGAGCACAGTCACAATCCTGTGCAAGCTGAGGCAATGACAGCTACACAAGAAATGCTATGAAAAATACCAGGAAAGTGTATGGACCCCAAATGTTCGAAATCTTAATTTTAAGACAGATGCTTTAAGATGTAACAAATTTCATTCAACTGACATTACAAAGTTACAATTATCCATGTTACTAAACTGATTTTACCAAGCTACGCCATCTGACAAGAGAAATGGCAAACTCTTCACTAACTGTGTTGAAAAAAATTCTCTTTTCAACTCTGCCTCATTTCCCTCCTCATACATAGTACCATTTAAAAAAAAAAAAATAAAAAATTAAGAACTCTATTACAGCTAAGCCAGCCATTTTCAGCTGCCAAACTAAAGTTTAGTTCCATTTTAGTACCAGGAGACTGTGGATCATAATTCATGCAGTTAAATTGAGGATTACTTGTTGACATCAATTTTGAACAGCCCAAAATAACCCAGTCCTCAAATTTTGGGGGGAGGAAAGGGCATGAGATTACTAAGAGAACTGGCAGTAGCAGTTTAAATGCTTTGCTGTGATTAGCTGAGAGCACATCACGACAAAGAATGTATTGATCTGAAGTTGTGCTAGAACTGATACAGCAAAGAGAAGCTGGAAAGAGAAACATTAACACCCAAGTTAATACCACATGAAGAAGCCAGTAAATCTCACTTTAAAGTGCCTGAGAGAACATTTGATTATTTGATTGACTGTATTAAAAATAACCTCCCATTCAATCAGTAAAGTATTTCCTACTTACACTTCTGACTTATTTACAGATCCTTCTTGCAAAGGGCACCAAAGACAGGTGGGAACTCTGAAGAATTTACAGGTCAAACAACACACAATGAGAATGGCCACACACAAAGCTAAAAATGTCCCCTTGACCCATTCTGAGCTGAGTCTCCAATTAAAGTCACGCTTCTGTGATGAACCGTTGATGCTTTTGTGCCACTCAGCATTCCAATTACATTAATATTTGTAATTATGCTTCTGAGAAAATGCTAATAGACACAACTCCACAAGAACAGTTCACAGCCTCGCCAGTGTCACCCCCACCTGTCTGCCCTTGCTTAAGCAGCAGAAGGAAAGTAAAGGTAGCAATTTCTTTTTCCTTCATGAGAACTACACCACATAATTAGAGTTTCACAAATCCCAAGAAATGCAATACATCCAAAGGCTTTATTCTCTTTGAATGCTGTGACAGACCTAAACCAGAGGTGATCTTTCACATATGACATTCCAGACTCCACATGCTGAGACACCAACCCAGCTTGGCCTTCGGAAGGAAGCCAGCAAAACAGTTCCAGAACACCTCCTGCTGCTCACCTGTTTCCCCCTCCCTGAGTAACTACTGAAAAAGGGGGGAAAAATAAATAAGCCTCACAAACCTCTTCTGTGGTCACCAAAGACCAACAAGCAGATGGAAGAACAAAATTAATTACAACAGATCCCTTCTGAACTACTGTTAAAAGGTTCTGCTCACACCAGAGCAAGCTCTAAGAAGAGAAGGAGGGAGTTACCATACAGAAGACATCTCACCTTTCAATTTTTGTACCAGCAAACACATCAAAGCACTAAACTCACATGCCAGCTCCAGCACTTGTGACACCGCAGGCAGCTGGTGAGCACAGACTGTTCAAGCACAGCACAAAGCCCGTCAAACAACGTTTGTTTACTACATCAACCCCCAAGAATTCCAGAAAAAGTTGTCATTATTGCCATCGCTGAAAGTCACCGTGGCAGCAGAAAGTTCTCAGCAGCCGGGCTGTGCCAGCTGTGTAGGACACCCGGATCCATCTTCTCCATCATTTCTCCCACCCGCTGCTCCCAAGGGAGCGGTGACTGCTGTGGGGACAGGCTGATTCTGTCACTCCCAAGGGAAGACTCACAGACACATCCAAAGGACTCACAGACACATCCATGACCTCCGCAGACAAGTTTATCTTATCCTGCCAGGAAGCTGCTGCAGTCTGGGTCCGTGAAGGCAGACAGGGAGGCGCTGGCAGTGTGGATTACCAAGGTCTGCCTCGCTCCTTAATCCAACTTTCCCAATTTTTGTTTAGACTTCGGTTCCCAAAGACGAGCTCGATTTTAAAATACTTCTCACACTGTGCTTCTGATAAAGCATCGACAATACTTGATCACAGAATCACAGAATGAATCACAGAGTGGTTTGGGCTGGAAGGGACCTTAAAGATCATCTCGTTCCAGCCCCCTGCCATAGGCAGGGACACCTTCCACTGTCCCAGGTTGCTCCAAGCCCCGTCCAACCTGGCCTTGGACATTTTCAAAGATGGGACAAGCAATATCATGGAAGTTCTGCTACCCAAAATCCACAGACACAACCCATCACTCCCATCACCTACTCCACCACCGCGTGCAGATCCACACAGGCACATCCGAACACGAACAAAATCAAACCAGGAGGGTGGGAAGAAGTAGGAGGGAGGCGGCACAGGCATGATCTCACCCAGGCACACCAAGGCACTATAGCCCAGGGTCCGGAGCAGCAGCCACGGGAGAAAAATCCGAGTTTCCTGCCTTTGTACCAAGGCTGTGCCAGCCTGCCTTCCCTCAGCAAACCTTTCCACGCGGGACACCGATCGCAGCGGGATCCGG